GAGAGAGAGAGAGAGAGAAAAACACTAGGCCTGTGCCTCACCTCGCTTGTGGAGTCGCCGACAGCGCCCTGAGAAGCCAAGGTGACCATGAGAAGATCATTTTATAGGGTTTACTGGTAAGCTTGATTAACATTTCTTACTTGTTACACTCTCACGTTTAAATCTGAGGTTTGCTTGAACCACTGAATCTTACTTACCCAAGAACTACAAGCTCTGTCTAAGACCATGAGGACCCTTTACTCTAGTTCCCTCACAACCCCATGCTAAGGTGGCCCTCTTGGCTGGAATGTATTTTCTGGCAAGATAAGAGTGCAAAACAGCTTCAGTCATTTTTCTGGATTCTGCAATTCGTGTCTTACCATCCAGTCTTTCCCTCGCTTCAAGGCCCTGGGTACTCTGGGACAGCCCAACGTCTCAGAGAAAATGAAAACCTGTGGCAGATTTGACTCTCCTGGTCATGTACTGCCTAGCTCTCCAATGCAGTTTAACACCCATAGGACTATTTATCACAAAAGAGACTCCTATACTACTTCCTGCCTCTTATGGCAAAAATCAGTATTGAATCAAAGTATGTTATCTCCAATGAGTATTTAGTTTAACCATTAAAGATACAAATCTTATACATCTGTGGTGCCTCCATACTCAAAAGACTAACCACATCATTACCAATACCACTTAACCTTAAACATAAGCTAACTAGTTAAAAAAAAAAAGAATTAACCAATACCCACCCTTCTATACAGTATTAATGCTTTTAAACCATAGAGATACTTCAAAATCATGGGCTGGGAGTAATGACACTGGATGCAGAATAGTATAATGCTGTCAAAAAAAAACAAAAAAACAGTGGGATGGAATTATGAAGATCACTTTTGGTTCCCTCTAAAGGATCTCTTGAACAAATAAAATATTCGGCAACATTTACAAAAGATATTGGAAAATCACAAATATATACTAAGTAGAAATACATTTAAAAATTCAATGGGTGAAACCATGCAAATTACAAATGATAAATCACAGTAAAAGCTACACAGCAAAATCCTAAAGACAGTAACATATTCTCTCATTAGATTACGAAAAATAAATAACAAACGAATACAGAAAAAGACTGAGATTGAACCTTTATAATTAGGCTCTATTTCTTCTTAGCTTTATATCCAATATCGCAATCCAATCTCTCCTTTAAGTGTAATAACTTTTATGTTTGTCAATATGTGTGAAAATTTGGAGTATTCTTGAAAGCATAGAACAAATTGAATAAATTGTTGCTATCATTAACCCCTAAAGAACAATATAAGTAAAGTCAAGCAGATGCACAAAAAATTTTCTTTTTGGAACAGTTTGACATAAACTTTGTGATTTTTTTTCCCCTATTTTGCATTGCGTATGTGAAAATTCAACGTGTTTAGGCTTAGTTTTGGAAGGGGGTAGAGAGTTATTCCAGCACGATAGCCTATAGCTGTAAACTTATAGAAACACAATTTTTTATTTTTTTCCCTTTTACTATGTGATCTTTATACCCTCAGCTCTCTTCTGGGAGTAGATATATATATGAAATCCTAAATTGTTCATTTGATCTACTACAGTAAAAGCCAGCTGATTTCAATAGTTTGATATATCATAAGACTATGTATATATCTACTGCAAGCATCATTATAAACCAGTAATTTTTTTGTTTCACAGTCAACCAGCCCTGCAATTACCATTCATTGTTTCAATTATTCACAGTATATGTGTCAATCTCTTGTTGTCTCCCATTGCAAATGATGTAAATATTGTTTACAAAGTAACTGCACCCCTCTCAAACTAAGTCCCTACTGTGTTGTATGTAATATCCTGTTGCATTATACATATTTCCTAAACCTAATCACTGTGGCCTCATTATCTGCATAGCATTTACCATTACCCATTTTCTTCATTTATGAGCTTTTTCCTATCCTGTGCAGATTATTTCCTGTATCAGCAAGTGTAGTTATTTCTTTTCTTTATGATAACCTCATTCGATTTCCCGGTAAACGTATAACAAAGTATTATACTTTGCCACTTTCTCTCACACTCAACTTGCGAAGGAAATATCATAATCATTGAGTGTCCTAATTAATGTCGTTCTATCTGTTACAGGCAAAATTTACCTTGTACCTTGTAAATTATACCTAAAAAAATATTCAATTTACTTATACTACCTGTTAACACCATTAAGAGAATTTCTAAAAATGTCATGGGATATTTTCTCTACAAAACGTCAGTTCCATTCCTGTCCTTCACAAAATCTCAAAATATTCATGTAATTACCTGAAAACAATTTCAAAATGATTTGAAAATTAAGTAACCTGATGAACATAAAAGATATTTAAACCATTTCTGATTTATACTTTCTGTTCATCTTTAAAAAAATAATATTATTTTCTACCCTACCGTTACTTTTCAAAAAAAAAAAAAAAATACTGCTTTTTTTATTCTAACCAACAACTTTCACAATAACCATTTAAATAACATACTA